TAGAAGCCCTCCCACTGTTGACCCCCCCCCCAAGCACCAAGAATACAGAGCATCCCTTGCCCCAGACCGAGAGTTCCTATCTATACCTTGTGGCTAAGAGCCACCGAAGGACCTCTGCTCCATATGTTTATCCATAAGAACATAAGAGAAGCCAATGTTGGATCAGGCCAATGGCCCATCCAGTCCAACACTCTGTCACACAGTGGCCAGAAATACCAGGTGCCACCAAGAGGTCCAGCAGTGGGGCCAGGACACCAGAAGCCCTCCCACTGTTGCCCCCCCCCAGGCACCAAGAATACAGAGCATCACTTGCCCCAGACCGAGAGCCCCTATCTGTACCTTGTGGCTAAGAGCCACCGATGGACCTCTGCTCCATATGTTTAATCTAATTGAAGCTGCCCATGCTTGTAGCCACCGCCACCTCCTGTGACAGTGAATTCCACGTGTTAATCACTCTTTGGGTGAAGAAGGACTTCCTCTTATCGTTCTAACCCAAAAGGGGTGAGTCAGTTTGAGGCCAAACACCTAGATAAGGCTAGGACAGGATTTCTTGTTTTGCTGGTTTCCCTACCTTTACTGTGCTCATTTTCCCTATACGTTACTGCATTATAGTTATTGTTAAAACTCTTTAATAATGAAACTAGTTTGTTACTCTGTCTGGATCCTCACACCTCAGTTGGTCACTTATAAGGGGAAAGCCACTGGAAAAGAAGCGTATAAAGGGGTAAAGTGCCGCAGGAGGTGGCGGCGGGTACAAGCATGGACAGCTTCAAGGGGGAATTGGATAAACATATGGAGCAGAGGTCCATCAGTGGCTATGAGCCACAAGGTATAGATAGGAACTCTCAGTCTGGGGCAAGGGATGCTCTGTCTTCCTGTTGTTTTTTGGCAGGGGCAACAGTGGGAGGGCTTCTAGTGTCCTCCTGGCCCCCCTGCTGGACCTCCCGATGGCACCTGGTATTTTTGGCCACTGTGTGACAGAGTGTTGGACTGGATGGGCCATTGGCCTGATCCAACATTGGCTTCTCTTATGTTCTTATAAGAGGGAGTTAGATAAACATATGGAGCAGAGGTCCATCAGTGGCCCCTATTAGCCACAAGGTATAGATAGGAACTCTCGGTCTGGGGCAAGGGATGCTCTGTATTCTCAGTGCTTGGGGGGGCAACAGTGGGAGGTCTTCTAGTGTCCCGGCCCCACTGCTGGACCTCCTGATGGCCCCTGGTATTTCTGGCCACTGTGTGACACAGAGGGTATGACTGGGTGGGCCTTTGGCCTGATCCAACATAGGCTTCTCTCGTGTTCTTATGTCGGGTGGGCGCTCCGGTCCCTCCCGAGGAGACCCATGCCAGAGTGGTGGCAGCTCTTGGAGAACCTTCCGAGCTGCTGCCCGCGATGGATGGTCTTGAGTCGGGCAATAGAGCCAGATGCATTTGACTGCAGCTAACCCTTTTCAACTTTGTCACGCTCCCCCTAGTGCCCTGGAGGCCCTGATCAACTTTGCCTACAACGGACACTTGGCCATCGACCAGCAGAACGTCCAGTCGTTGCTGATGGGAGCCAGCTTCCTGCAGCTGCAGAACATCAAGGACGCCTGCTGCTCGTTCCTCAGAGAGAGGTGAGGGATCCTGGCTTCCTCCGGACCCCGTGCTTTGAGAATCAGTCAGGCCGGGGCTGACTGGCCGTTGAACGTCTGGGGGAATTTCCCGGTGGGATGCTGGTGGCCCGGGAACAAGCCGCACCAAACCCCAGCACCTCTGCCTGAGCCTCCGGGGCCCGTAGGTCCCGCATCAGTCACGGCAGCTGGTGTCAGCTCAACCACTGTCTTATCCTGCACGGCATGCCTGTCGCTACGGTGGGGCTTTGGGGGCTCTGCCTCCTTTCTTAAAGGTGCAGCCCCACAAGAATTTCTCCTATAAATGCATTTTTCAATCATTTATAAAATATTTTTTAGAGGCATGTGCTCCTTTAAGCAGAGTGGGGTGCTGTAGTTGACTAACTCCCACACTGAGCAAGGGGGTTGGAGTAGGTGACCTCTAGGACCCCTTCTAACTCTGTGTCAAGAAATTGGTCTCCCTCAAAAGAGGACTTAATAGCAAAAATCTTAGAATTAGCACAACTGGACAATCTGAGTTTGTTACTTAAAGGTAAAGATCATACAATACAGAGCAAAAGGTGGTTAAGGGTATATAATTGGATAAATAACATAATTTGATAAATATGTAAATAATTAACATCATGTTCAAGAATTGTAATTTGGCTTAACAACTCTAAAAATTTATGTAATCTAAGAAAATGAAATGTTTGTACTCTTGCGAAAAAGTTGGAAAATAAAAGGGGGGGGGAAACACTTCTGCCTAAGTGTTAGCTTCCTTGACTATAGAAATCATCACCCCCACCTGCAGGCTTGTTATCGTGAGAGGGAGGGCAGGAAGGGTTGCATCAGTGCTTAGTTCTTATGGCCCTTTCGTATATGCCCAGGGAAATGCTGATTGTCATGTTGGGGTCAGGAAGCAATTTTTCTCCAGGCCGGTTTGGCCCAGGGATCCTGGAGGTGGGGTTTTTTTTTTTTTTTTGGTCATTTTCTGTGTGTGGAACAGCGGTCACGGTGGGTGGGTGGGGGAGGTATTTGTGAATCTTCTGCATTGTGCAGGGGGCTGGACTAGATGACCCCGGAGGTCCCTCCCAACTCTATGATTCTGCAATTCTATCAGAATTGTTGCTTAGGCTGGCAGAAGTGATTAACTTGCAGCAGCTGCGGCCTGTCATCTAAAGTGGCTGACCGCTTGCAGCTTAGCGATCTATCCTGGTAACCGCTTTCTGTTGGCCACATGGCTTTTCCTTCTGCACTGAGAACTTCAGCCCCACCAGAAGAAAATTCGCCTCACAAGCCCCAAGATCCTGGCTATTGGCCTGCTGCGCTGCCTCCAGTTCGGGGGATGACAGCTGCATGCTTGTGCATCCTGCAGTGGTTGTTCTGTGTATTCCAGACCCAAAGAAGCCACAACCAGAAGGCACCTGTAGGCTGTGTGGCTTGAGATAAAATGAAGCGAGTAAGCCATACTGTACAGCCATGCGTATGCACCACTAGTGGATCCCCAGAGCACTGTCCACCACTGCCCTGCTCAGCCACTAGCATTCTGGGACAGTTTCTGTGAGAAGAGAACAAGAGATAGTGGGCCATGCCTTCAGCTGCCCTTCCCTGAACCTGACTGCCAGCAAGTGGCTCAGTGGCAAAGCATCTGTTTTGTGTGCAGAAAGTCCCAGGTTCAGTCCCCGGCATCTCCAGTTAAAAGGACCAGGCAGGAGGTGATGGGAAAGACCTCAGCCTGAGACCCTGGAGAGCTGTAAAGAGGGGCTGTGGCTCAGTGGCAGAGCCTCTGCTTGGCATGCAGGAGGCCCCAGGTTCACTCCCCGGCAGCTTCTCCAGTTAAAAGGACCAGGCAGTAGGTGATGGGAAAGACCTCAGCCTGAGACCCTGGAGAGCTGTAAAGAGGGTCCGTGGCTCAGTGGAAGAGCCTCTGCTTGGCACGCAGGAGGTCCCAGGTTCAGTCCCTGGCAGCATGTCCAGTTAAAAAGGATTGGGCAGGAGGTGATGGGAAAGACCTCAGCCTGAGACCCTGGAGAGCTGTAAAGAGGGGCCGTGGCTCAGTAGAAGAGCCTCTGTTTGGCCTGCAGGAGGTCCCAGGTTCAATCCCCGGCAGCATTTCCAGTTCAAAGGACCAGGCAGGAGGTGATGGGAGAGAGCTCCCCCCTGGAGGGCTGTAAAGAGGGGGCGTGGCTCAGTGGCAGAGCCTCTGCTTGGCATGCAGGAGGTCCCAGGTTCAGTCCCTGGCATCTCCAGTTAAAAAGGACCAGGCAGGAGGTGATGGGAAAGACCTCTGCTTGAGACCCTGGAGAGCTGCCGCCAGTCTGAGTAGATAATACTGACATGGGTGGTCATATGGTCTGATTCTGCATAAGGCAGTCTCATGTGTTAAGAACCTAAGAAGAGCCCTGCTGGATCAGACCAGGGAGTGTGGACAGCGCTGGCTCTTTGGCTTGGAAACGAAGATTAGCACCGCATCTCTAGAGTCGGATTCGACTGGCTTTCGAGCAAGGGGAACCTTTACCCTTTTCCTTTACAGTGTTTTATTGGGTACCATGCTGTTTTTGTACCTATTTTAATTGATGCCACCGTACATTGTTGTAAATCCCTTTGAGCTTTTAAGAAAAGAGAAGCGGTATCAGAATTGAAATAAATAAATAAACCAAAGTCCTTGACAAGTCTCCGGGACGAAGGTTGGAATCGCGGAGAGAAATGCCAGATAAGGCCGGGGTTTTGTAGCCTTTGCTCTAGTTTCTTTGGCGAGCCGTTGGGTTAAAGCTTGTGAAATGCTGTCCCATCAGCTGTGTTGGACACAAGAGGAGGTGCTCTTGTTTGTTCATTAGGGAATCTGATCTTGCGAAAGGCCCATTTTCACACACACACACCCATTGGAGTTAACCAACTGACTCCTGATCTCCAGTAAACAGGAACAAGAACATGAGTTCAGTGCAGACTATTGGTTTTAAACTGAACGGGGAACAGACTCAAGCGTTGAACACAAGAACACTTCCATGCATGTTTGTAAAGGGAGGCAGGTCTCCTCTTGTCTAAAGCCCGGGTTTCCTAGCTCCACAAGCAGTGCTCCCTCTAAGCTGTGGAGTCTTATGAGCAAGAATTCTCCTTTGTGAGCTCCTGGCATTAAAGTTGTGACCGAGCGATCAGGCCACTGCATGAATTAGTTTGCTCCGGAGCCACCCTTCCTGTGCTAAGACAAAAACGTGTGAGCCAGAGGCTAAAAAACTGTGAGCTAGCTCATACCGACTCAGCTTAGAGGGAACACTGTCCACAAGTACCATTTTAGGTCTTCTCAGATGGAGGGCTGGTCGCGCCAAATAAAAAAGCAGAATTGGATGAACAGAGGCCGATTCGCCGAAAACCAAGTTGGGGAGCTGCGTGCAGATACGATGAACTTGTGACCTAGTTCTCGGAAGCAGCAGACGAGAAGAGTGCGTGGGCTGGGGAATTCTTTGTGCCAGTTCCCCTCTTTACAGCAAACAAATAGAAACCCTGTGAGTAAAACACAGCCCGTCAGTAAGACGAGCAAGCATAATTCTCCCTGAACGCGTTATAGTTGTTTCCTTAGAAATAGTTATATGCCTGCCTTTCTCCTGAGCAGTGTAATCTTCTACGTGCAACAAAGGAGATCTTTTCTAACATCTGCAGCTCAGACAAGTGAATATCCCCTTGCAGTGATCCACTCCACGAACAGGTGTGCCGCTTCCTCCTGTTATTTGCAGGAACTGGAATCAGGCCAGTGGGCCCCCCAGTCTCCAACACTCTGTGTCACACAGTGGCCAAAAATACCAGGGGCCATCAGGAGGTCCAGCAGTGGGGCCAGGACACTAAAAGCCCTCCCCCTGTTGCCCCCCCCCAAAGCACCAAGAATACGGAGCATCCCTTGCCCCAGACCGAGAGTTCCTATCTATACCTTGTGACTAAGAGCCACCGATGGACCTCTGCTCCATACATTTATCCAGTTCTCTCTTGAAGCCGCCCATGCTTGTAGCCGCCGCCGCCTCCTGTGGCAGTGAATTCCACGTGTTAATCACTCTTTGGGTGAGGAAGGACTTCCTTTTATCCGTTCTAACCCGACTGCTCAGCAATTTCATGGAGTGCCCACGAGTTCTTGTATTGTGAGAAAGGGAG